AGAGATTCAAGCAAATTCAAGAAAAATGAGAAACCAATACATTGTGAGTGAGAGAGGAAAGATTTCAAGGGTGTTTGGGGTGTGAGAAAGAAGAAGAAATCAGAATTTCTTCTGGGTAGTTTCTCGGTAAACACTTTGTTTTTCTTCTAGGGTTGGTTTCTGGGTTCTTGTATTTCAGATTTGGGGCTTTACCTCTTGTAACAGATTGAAGTTGTAATTCTTCTTCTTTATAGTGGATTGAGTTTCTTGTGGAGGAGCTCGGTAGGATTACGTCAATTTATCTTGGCCGAACCGGGTAAATCTTGATTGTGTTCTTATTTTCTGTTCTTCTTGATTATTCCGTTCCATACTTCCGATTGTGTTGGTCTCGTTCCAACAGTGGTATCAGAGCTGACGGTTAAAAACTGATCAGTGAAGGTCTAGAGGGTCTGCCTGGTTTGGGGGAAATTCGGGAAAAACAATTTTTCAGGGAATCTTAGAGAAATCTTGAAGAATGGGAACTGCTAGGTTTGAGCTTGAGAGATTTGATGGATCTGGCGATTTTGGCTTATGGCGGAAGAAGCTGAGGGCGATCTTGGTGCAGCAGAAAGTGGCAAAAGCTCTAGGGGACATGAAAGATTTCAAGGGCATGGAGGAAGAGAAGGACGAGATGCTAGAAATAGCCTACTCTACCATTATCATGTACCTTGCGGACAACGTGTTGAGACAAGTCAACGATGAAGACACAGCAGCAAAGGTTTGGCTTAAACTTGAACAACTTTACATGACAAAGTCTCTGACTAATAAAATTTATCTCAAAGAAAGCTTGTTCAGTTTTATAATGGACACCTCTAGGAGCCTAGAAAAGAACCTCGACGCTTTTAACAAAATTATTATAGACCTAGCTAACATTGGTGAAAAAATTGAAGAGGAAAACCAAGCAGTAATCCTTTTGATTTCTTTACCTGAGTCATTTAGGGAGGTAAAAAATGCTATAAAATATGGGAGAGATAGCCTTACTCTTGAAGATGTACTGTCTGCCCTGAGGTCTAGAGAGTTAGAAATCAAAAAATGAGATGTCTCAAAGAAGGGACACAAATGGAGATGAAGGGTTGTTTACTAGAGGAAGACCACCCAAGAAAGAATCAGGTTGGAAGACCAAAAATAGGCCACCCTCAAGGTCAAAGTCCAGGAACGGATCAAGAAAATGTTTCTTCTGTAAAAAGCCAGGACACATCAAAAGATTCTGCAAGGAGTGGAAGAAGCATTTGGCTGAATAGAAACCAACAGAAGGTGATGCTGCAATTGTCATTCAAGACAATGGCTATGAGAGCCCTAAGATGCTCGTTGTTAGGATCTCAGAAGAGGAGTCAGAATGGATTCTGGACTCTGGGTGCACATACCATATGTGCCCAAATAAATCCTGGTTCTCGAACTATGAGAGGATAGATGGAGGTAAAGTCTTGATGGGAAATAATCATGCTTATATAGTGATTGGATCTGGAAACATCACTGTCAAGCTGACAATGGGGCTTATTACACGCTCAAGCATGTCAGGCATGTTCCTGAACTTAGAAGGAACTTGGTCTCCCTGGGAGCTTTAGATGATGCAGGGTATAGCTATAAAGCTGAAGGTGGAGCCATAAAGATCTTTAAAGGGTCTTTAGTAGTAATGAAAGGAGAGAAGAAATCAGGCCTTTATGTCCTAAAGGGCCAAGCAGTCACTGGCACAGCAGCAGCAATAATCAGTGAGAAGTCCAAGGCTGAAATCTGGCATAGAAGGCTTGGGCATGTAAGTGAGAGAGGTCTCCAGGAACTCAGCAAGCAGGGATTACTTGGAGATGACAAAATCAACCACCTGGAATTCTGTGAGCAGTGCACTTTAAGGAAGCAACACAGGTTGAAGTTCTCTACATCAACATTCAGAGCAAAAGGACCTCTAGATTATCTACATGCAGATCTATGGGGGCCAGAAAGAACACCTACTCATGCAGGGTCCAGGTATTTTCTTTCTATAATTGATGACCACTCTAGGAAAGTTTGGATTTACCTATTAAAAACTAAAGATGAATGTTTTAATAAATTCAAACAATGGAAAAACCTAGTTAAAAATCAATTAAATAAAAGGGTAAAAGCCCTTAGAACTGATAATGGTCTAAAATTATACCATGAGTTGTTCACAGATTATTGCCATAGTAATGGCATCCTAAGGCACAGAACTATGAAGAAAACACCTCAACAAAATGGCATAGCAGAGAGGATGAATAGAACCTTAATGGAAAGAGTTAGGTGCATGCTATTTGGTTCAGGTTTACCTAAATCTTTCTGGGGTGAGGCAGTCAACACTGCTTGTTACCTAATTAATAGATGCCCATGTAAGCCTATAGGATTGAAAACTCCACAAGAGCTCTGGACTGGAAAACCACCAAATCTAGGAAATTTGAGAGTCTTTGGATGTGCAACATATGCACACCAAAAGGAAGGGAAGTTAGACCCTAGATCCTTTAAATGCATATTCCTAGGACATCCTGAGGGAGTTAAAGGATATAGGCTATGCCTGAAAAATGGTTCTAAGTTTAAAATCATCATTAGCAGGGATGTAAGCTTTAATGAAAATAACATGCCTTATTTTAAAAAGGACAAAGATACTGCTGCCTCTTTTAATGATGCAGGAACAGATGCAAACACCCCACATCAGCTCTAATTTGAGGTGCAGTCATCAACGCAAACTCCACCTGGGCAAGAACCTGACCATGAATCACAGCAGCAACCGCAAGAGACTCAGGAAATTGCTGCTGAAGACCCACGAGAGGAATTAGAGCCTACGGTTCTAGAGACTCTGTCAGATTACGTCATTTCAAGAGATAGGTCAAGGAGGCAGATCAAACCCATATGGTGAGAATGAGCTCATAGCGTTTGCTCTAAGCTCTGCTGAAGACCTTTCAGAAACTGAACTAGGCTCGTATCAAGAAGCAGTTTCAAGCCCTCGGTCCAGCAAGTGGATAGCAGCCATGGAGGAAGAGATGAACTCCCTCAGAAAAAACAATACTTGGGTCTTAGTGGACAAGCCCAAGAAGCAGAAACTTGTTTCCTGCAAATGGATCTTCAAAGTTATTGAAGGTGAAAAGCAATTTCAAAATCCTTCGAGAATATGTATGATTACACATAGAAAAATAGGACTCCAATCTGCTGTCCAATTTTAGTGTCTTCATTCATGTTTAACCAATTAAATCATGTTACGTCATGTTAAAGGTTTATATTGTTTTTTAACTTATTCTTTTGTGCTTATTACAAGATGATATGGTATGATTTAATTGATTAGACACCAATGAAAATGCTAAAAATTATACAGTAAATTTGGATTTAGATAAATAACAGCAATACAAACTTTGTTTTCCATAAAAGTTTATTTACACATAGATAAATAGCGGATCAATATGTGAACATACTACACAATAAATAATCTGCAATAAATAAAAGAAAATTATTGAAGGTGAAAAGCAATTTCAAAATCCTTCGAGAATATGCATGATTACACAAAAAAATAGGACTCTAATCTGCTGTCCAATTTTAGTATCTCCATTCATGTTTAACTAATTAAATCATGTCACGTCATGTTAAAAGTTTAGATTGTTTTTTAACTTATTCTTTTGTGCTTATTACAAGATGATATAATATGATTTAATTGATTAGACACCAATGAAAACGCTAAAAATTAGACAATAAATTTAGATCCAGATAAATAACAGCAATTCAAACTTTGTTTTCCATAAAAGTTTATTTACACATAGATAAATAGTTTCACAAATAACTTTTTGATGTCTTCAGCCAATTATCTGATTTTATTTAAGGACTTTTTCAAAGTCAAGGATATATTGGAAGAAATGAATTATAAACTCGAATCAGGGAACTAAACGGACCCCTTATAAACTAGAGATCATTTTTTTTTCTTTAACAGTGAAATGTAAAACACATGAACCTGATAAACGACGATAACAAAAACATTAAATGAAAGACCTAAATGAAATGTAAACAAAATTAAGCAAAAATGTAAAACGACAAGAACCTGGAATTGACCAAAACAAAAAACGGCAATAAAAAAACAAAATTAACTTAAAAAACGTTAGATCATCATGTAAAACGACAAAATAAAAACGCCAATGAATTATGAAAATGTAAATAACATCAACTTGGTAAACGTCTAAACAACAGCAACCCTGAAATATGAAATGCAAAAGTACGTCAGCTGCCAAAACAATAACAAACTACTAATTGCTGTAGGACAGTAACCTGAAAGAATATTTATAAAAAAACAAAAAAACCCTGAAAAAATTCGAGTATAAACAATAAACGACAACCAAATTCAGTGACGACAAACAACTTGAAAAAATTCGAGTCTAAACAATAAACGACAACCAAATTCAGTGACGACAAACAACTTGAAAAAATTCGAGTCTAAACAATAAACGACAACCAAATTCAGTGACGACAAACAACTTGAAAAAAGCAAAAGCTATACAGAAACAACGATGAAGTATGGCGAGGAAAACATCACCCATAGGCCTAACAAAGAAAAGCTGTAGAAGATGGGAATTTTTGGTAGATTGAGCGTTGACTATCAATCACATGAGGATAGAAATGACCTTTCACTTTGCGGAAAAAGAATTTCAATGATAACATTCATTATTATTATGAGGATAAGACATTGGAATATATATTTTGCAACTGCAAATTGGGCATGTGATGGTGCACTAACCTCAAGCTTGGCCCCATCTCCTCCCACAAGTACAAGTAAAACAAAGATTAATTGGGCCCACCAAACCACTAACTTAAAAGAATAATTTTGTTAAATACATCTTAAAGATGCATGTGTCAAAATTTTTATCTTTTTATTCTTAATTTATAATTTTTTATTATATAATTATATTAATAAAAAGATATTTATCAAGAATAAAAAATAAAAATTTAAATTCATATACTTTAAAAAATAAATTCTCTCATTTTTCTAATGATGTGTTTGGAATAAGAATCTGTGTCATGATTCGAATTATAATTCGTGACTCGTTACAGTATTTTCTCTCATAAAAAATACATATAAATTAAAAATAATTCTGAATCATGATTCTAAATACATAAATAACTAAACGTCCCTAACTCTAAATTAGTGATATAGTGGCCAACATCGTTGTCAATCAAACTCAAAACAAAATCTTCCAAACTCCCAAATCCCCCAAAAATGTCATCCCTTGCGTCACTCTAAAAGAAAATATGTTTTTTTTTTGTTTTTGTTTTTGTCCCTTCTTTGTTTATCTATTGCACATCTCAAGGGCCCTAAAACTTGCGGATCCTAGATCCTTATATGGGCCGGGTGAGACTCCACCCGTTTCATCATCATGCAAGAATCTCTTCACTCCTCTCCTTCTCTCCCAGGCCTTGTAAACGACAAACCCAATGAACCCCACAAACACCAAAACGGCACCAAAGAACACACCAATCAAAGCCCTAAAAACCACCCCCACTCTACCTTTATGTGCACTTTTCCTCACCTTAAAATACCCCACCTTAGTCTCATCCCCAACACTGAGTAGAGTTTGGATTGGGTAATCCACGGTGTAGCAAAACCTGGATGCATTATTATACACCGCGCCCCAACAACTACAATTCTTCTCACAAATGCCCTCACACTCCTCCAAAGACGACGTCGTTTCGTACCGCATCAGCTCATTGTACGGTAACTCAACCCCTTTCCTTCTCAAAACCCAAAAGCCGTTATTCGCCACCGCGTCACCGCAAAAGTCGCCGGAGCCGGACTCCGTTGGTAGACACTCACCACCTGAGATATACTCCGTCCGGTTATCAATACACGAGCAACCGGATCCGGACTTACACAAACCGTACGAACCGCAGGGACTGGGAAGTTCGCAAGTCTCACTAATTGCCTGATAATTTGAAACCCATGTTGACCCGTCCCAGAAATACCCTCTGAGGTTCCCGTCAGGTTCTAAGACGACCCGAATGAGCCCATTTACCTAAAGCATAGCAAGAAAAAAAAAAGTATGTACTAACATTAATACTATCTTATTTGAAATGAACAAAGCTATTATAGATCAAGAGAAATATAGAATTTAAAACTTAAAAAGGATATAAACTTCATCATATTTGGCGTATAAAATATATATATATATATATTTTGGGTAGAAATTGCTATTGTATCATATTAATAAGAGTTGCTTTTCTTTTCACTGTTCTTGAATTATTTTTCGAAAAACTAATCTAACCATTTCAAAATTTCAACTAGAGGAGTAAGATAGCAACTCCGACCGTATAACTTCTCGTATAAAATTTGAGAAAAATTTAAGTAAGGCGGCCGCTTACACACGTGGCTCGGCCCCTGCATTTACCTGTTTTTGGAAGGTTGAAAAGGGTTGCACGTCGACCGGCGGTTCGGTTCCAGTTTGGTACATGCCCAAATACCCATCCGGGTTGACCCGAGCGTAAATCGGACCTTTTCCTTGTACTATCTCTGCTTTGGCTTGCATAGCCCTGTGCTTCCAATATATTTGCTCATATCCTCTCTTAAACCCTGCGTATAATCCCATAAAATCGCTCCCTAATCGCATAAAATACTTCCCATTCGACGAGATCAGCGTCATGGCATCAGTGAAATTCTGGCCCTCGACGAGGGTATTGCCCGGAAAGTCAAAACTCTGCCACACAACAGATTTCAAGTTATCTTGTATTTGGAGACTGGACGAGTTTAGAAGCACGACCCTGTCGCCGGCTACGGAGTTCGAACTTGACCAAAATACCCTCGACCCGGGGTTGGAAATCACGAGGCTGCCGTTGGTGAAGGTGAGCTCGGTCTTGTGGGACCAGTGGAGAAAACGGGTCGGGTCGGCGAGCCAGAGGGTCTCGGAGGAGGGGAGGTGGAGGACGGCAAGGGAGAGGCGGGTCCGGTTGGTTCGGAGGAAGCCGAAGGAGAGGTTTCCGGTGGGATCACGGAGTAGGGACTGAAACGACGTCGTTGAAGGGTCGGGTCGGGCTTTGAAGCCTTTGAGAAGCTCTTGGGTGTCGTTGGCTTCGGTACATGAGGAGATAAAGATTGTGATTATGAGGAGGAGGAGTTGAGTCGCACGTAACTGAGTCACCGAGTTGGTTGAGTTTATCATGTTGGAAATGGTGAGGAGAGAGAGAGAGAAGAAGAGATAGAGAGAGAGAGATGGATGGGAAGTGGCCGGGGAAATGATACAAAGGGCTGGCTGGCCTTTTTATATATTACTATTTTTTAGTGTGATAATTCTCGATGACTTAAATAGAGATATAAAATAGAAGCTAATAACTGTGGTTTTTTTAATTTGGAGACCAACCATTATCATATAGTTAAAATACTTGAAGTAATTCCCATCAAAAAAATAGAATAAAATACTTGGAAGTGAACTTTGCAAGCATGTCTAGGTATATGGAGAACCAAGGCTAAATGGAGATTTTTTCATTCGATCATTTTTTTTTTGTTTATATAATAATATTCTTTCATACAATGTTTTGATTATAAATATTAAGGAAAAATTTTGTTTTGTTAAACATAATAAAACTTAAAAGGAGGCAAGGGAAACAATGAGTACGTTCGAATTATATGAATCTTCGGAGCAACTTTAGATACTAAAGTAAGATTGGATTCATTTAAGTAATGCACAAGGCAAAATTTAATTCAAGAATTAAAAACCAAACCAAAAAGAATTAGGGAAAGTTTCTCTAGTAGGCTTAACCTACCGATAGTGTCAATTTTTTATTATTAGATCAGATTAAAATAATATTAAATTAAAAAAATATATAAAATAATTTATTTATAATACATATATGATGATTGAAAATAAAAAATTACCAGTAATTTATTTTTTTTATCCTACTAGAGAAGCTCTCAAGCTCCCAATGAATTGTGGGTTAAGATTAGATTGAACCCACATTTCCCGTACACTCAAATAGGCTAAAATATGATTGAGTCCTGGGAGGAAAAATGGACACCTTTTGTTGCCTTTTTTTTTTTATAAATTGAAAATATGTCATTTTTTTTATTTCTACAAATATTTATAACTTGAGCGTCTTTACTCGCAAAAACCTCAATTGCTCATAGCTTAGGAATTTTAAGAAAGATCAGAGATCAAGAATCAAACAAGTAGCAATTATCCAGAATCTTGGGCAGATTTTCACACCCTAATGTATAATATTTTTCAAAATAATAAAAAAAAAAAAACAAAAGCAAAACATCTGCATATGATGTAATTAGAAGTAATAACACCTAACATTGTTTGTTATTAATTTTAGGGCTTTGAATTTTTTTGGGTTTTTTAATTCTAGAAATTGAAAGTGAAAGTTATGATTAGAATAATTTAACGTAAATGTGAGAAGGTTACAGATAAAGATTTATAAAGTAGCATGCGGCTCACCAAAAGTGAATAAATAAATGGAATATGTTAGGAACCTAATAGTTAGTAGTTATTTTTTAGTAATATAAATAAGGGTCTAGTGGCTAATGAGGGGGGATGATGAGATTTCTAGAAAGTATCTAGTACGGTGCACTATCTTGGAGGTCGGGGGTCCTCGAAACCACTCATTTATCCTGTAATTTTTAATTTTTAGTATTGTTAATGAAGCTTAGATTTTCGGGTTCCTAACAATGGTATCAGAGCATCTACAATCCATGGAGCTCTTTGAGTTGAGAGAGAAACTTAGGGCTGCTCTAAGAGCTAATCTCAAGGTTTCTGGAAGTGAGCCTGTGAGTTCAGAACCTAAGGTTTCGTTATTTAAGTTGAAAGAAAAACTTAGGGCTTCGCTGTTTGGAGGTGAGCCAGAGCGACAGGATGTGGAGCATCAGCGTCAACGAACGTCGCCGGAGGGAATGCTACTAGAACCTGAATCGCGGGATGATGTCAAAGACTTGAGCAATTTTTCGCGATCTGGTGCTAGATCGGCCAGATCTGAGGCGAACGGTGGTGGATTTGCGATGAAATCTGAGAACACTGCAATTGGCGCTGATTTTTCAAGATCCGATAAGATTGACGCTAGATCTGGGAATTTTGGTGCCAGTTCCGGCGCGGCGGAGGCTGGGCTCGACGATTTGGTTGCGGTTTGGACAGGGCCTCACGATTCCGGCGTGAAAGGGGTTGATTCCAGTGCTACAGAGGCACGTTCCAGTGCGGCGGAGGCTGCGCTTGACGATTTCGCTGCGGTTTGGATAGGGCCTCACAATTCCGGCGTGAAAGGGATTGATTCCGATGCTACGGAGGCAGATTCCGGCGTAGCGGAGGCTGGGCTCGACGATTTGGCTACGGTTTGGACAAGGCCTCACGATTTCGGCGTGAAAGGGGTTGATTCCGGTGCTACGGAGGCAGATTCCGGTGAGATTGGTGTTGTTTTCAAAAATTCAAGCCAAATTTGGAGCGGGTCTCATGATTCTGACACTTTTGAGGTTGTTTCCGGCAAAGTTAGGGCTGATTCCAGCCCGGTTTGGACCGGGCCTCACAATTTCGGCGTGAAAGGGGCTGGTTCCGGTGCTACGGAGGCAGATTCTGGCATAATTGGAGTGGGACCCATGAATTCTAACGCCCGTAAGGCTGGGTTTTGTGATTTTGACGCCATTGGGGCTAGCTCCGGCGAGATGATGGCCAGGACATGCAATTTTGACGCGAAATCTGACAATTTTGGGGCTGAATACCGAAATTCTGTTCGGAAGTGGGCTGGGTCTAGTGTTTTCGGTATGGGCAGAGTTAATTTTGGGGTTGGGCCTCGTAATTACAGCGTTAATTGGCCTAATTCTGGTGCAATGGTGGTTAGGCCTCAAAATTCCAACACATTTAGGACTGGGTATAGTAAGTCTGTGGCTGGGTATGAAGAAATTGGTGATAGAGAGGCTGAAAGGATGAAGACTTGGTTAGCTGAGAAAGAAACTTATATGTTAATGACGGATTTCTCAAAAACTTTTATGGTCATTGATAAGCTTGATCAGGGGGCTCCAACTGAATTGGTGGAGTTTGTGGTTGCTTTCCAAGATACAAAGAAGACGGAGAAGAAAGTAATTGATTGGCTCCACTTTAAAGACGTGACTTACAAGGACAACATCAATTTGGAGACTTAAATCAAGGAACTAACAAAGTCTTCTATTCTTAATCATTTAGATGTTATTTTTCAATATTATTTATTGATTTTCACCTTGAGGACAAGGTGATTCTTTGGGGCGAGGGTAATGTTAGGAACCTAATAGTTAGTAGTTGTTTTTTTAGTAGTATAAATAAGGGTCTAGTGGCTAATGAGGGGGGATGATGAGATTTGTAGAGAGTGTCTAGTACGGTGCACTATCTTGGAGGTCGGAGGTTCTCAAAATTGCTCATTTATCCTGTAATTTTCTATTTTTAGTATTGTTAATGAAGCTCAGATTTTCAGGTTCCTAACAGAATATCATAAAGTAGTCTTTCTGTTCTTGCTGCAAATTGAAAATATAAGGATCCCAAATCAAATTCTGCTTATTGCAATTGCTATATATTAAAAAGATGTTTGAGAGATATTATTGTTGTTATCATCATCGCTAGATAAGGAATATTTAATTTTCAGAAAGAGATATTGTATGTTATGATGTCGTTGTGAAATCCATAGTGTACAAAAATGGACGGCACGTTTACATAAAGATGGCAAATATGGAATATCAGACAACAGACCAATTCCATTCATCCTTTTGTGAAAATCTCTCCAAATTAAACCAATATAAATATTTTTGTGTTAATTGCGAGGCTTGGTTACTTATTCATTGTCGTTTTAGTTGTATATGAGATTAAATAAGAAAGCACTGATAGTATTGAGTGTCATCCCCTAATAAAAAGTGAATAACATAATATAGAGTTCATAAATAGAATCCGTCTTCTATTAATAAGTGGAGAATTAAATGTGCCATATAAAGTCAGCATTTGTGTTGCACGGTTTTCCCGTTTTGGCCATAAGTTACAACTTGCAGGTTGACTTCGAAAATGAAATGAGTTCCAAGTTGCATGGAAATATAAATAGAAGAACCACTTTGTGAACTAATCAGTTAATTGTTTTTTTTTTTTTTTTTGTGGGACATTTATAATGAAAAGTCTTGGCCAATTTAATTAGCAATACAATAATACGGTCCTAGACTTGAATCAGTAAAGATGAATAGTACAACTACACTGCCTTTTTTTTTTTTTTTTTTTAAACTTACAAGTGGAGGATTTGGAATCACACATTATGGTGAGTACTCAAATCGATATGAAATTATCGCTCTAAATTATACATGTAATCTCTTTTTTTTTTTTTTATGTTAACTCTACACCTTATAATAAAGTACTCGCATGTTTAATTATCGCTAAATTATACCTGTAATTACTTTTTTTTTTCCCTTAACCTTGTGTGGAAACTATGAAATTAGACAATCTGCTAGAGTAGGAAGTTTTAATGAGAGTAAGAGAAATGTAGATGTGTTTGTTGGGATTAGGCTAGCGCCTTGAAGATTTAGACAAACCTACATGTATGTGTCTATACACACACACACACACACACATATATATATATATATATGTATATATGTATCCCCACACTATATCTAACAGCCCCAATCACAAGTCAAACCAATAAATTTACAAGTCAAAGAATCCCGCTGATCTGATCCCATCAACCATTCCCTTTTCGTTTTATTAGGAGGGTTGACTTTTAGGGCAGCTCATTCAATGAGGAGTTAACCAAAGTCGAGTGAAAGTGGGTGCAATTCGATTAATTACCTTTTATAGCATACACATGGATGTCGTTTGACATAAGAGAATTGTTTCATATTCCAAACCACTCTACTCCATATTTCTTTAAGAACCTTCACCTATTTTGATATCATTTTTCTCCTCCTTTTGTCACCGCTCTTAAGATTTTGACTTTGCATAAGTATTTTGTTATAGTTTCTGTCATTCTTCTCTAAGATTTGACTTTAATCCTATTTGAACACACTTTCCTCCTCCAATTAATGTATCTTTGCATTTCTAAGGTTTTGACCTTTACATAACATTATCATCTCTTTTTCTGTCTTGTAGATCTTGGTTGTCTCCTTGCCTCTCTCTCCTCTCCATACACGTGCAAAGATTTTTTTTTTTTTTTGAATAGTATACGTGCAAAGATTTAGATCATAGATCTAAGTGCTTAACATGCATTGGAGGGTGTTAATTATGTAA